GGCATGTGAATTACTTTGCCTCCCAAACTGGAAGATTCTCCTTTGAAAGAACAAAATACTAGAGCTCCCCTTCTAAAAAGTTCCAGATTTTTTTTTTTACCTACATGCTGTAAGGCATTTTTAAAGCAGTTGGAAGAAGGAAAGAAGGAAGGAGGGAATTTTCATGTTTTCTTTTTTTTGGAGGACTCTGCAACTGGAAAGATTGCTTCTGGACAAGAAATCCTAGGACTGCTTCGTATGAAGCTTGGCAAATTGTTCTCCTCAAAAAGGTAAACTTTGCCTACTCATTGCATCTAATTCTGTCAGGCAATTAAAAACAAACAAAAATGTCATCAACAGATCTTTTAAAATAAAAACTGAATTTAAAGTTGCCTATTATAACCTCTCCCCCCACCCCCTGAAACTAATATTTGGCAAGGTTGCTAAAAAGTTACTCCATCCAAAAGCTTCATCCAAAATTGTCACTCAGAAACCAAGCTCTGGCGATTAATTGATTAGCGTACAAGTTTAATAAATTATCATCAACATCCACCACCACCATCCTCTCAAAGGTAGTCAATAGAAGAAATAGAGATAGATTTTGACACTGAAATTTAGTCAGATATTTGCATAAGAATCTGATAAATCTGAAGTGTTTCTGAATCACTGTTTCAGAGTCTGAACTGTTTTTAAAAAAATCTGTGTACTTCAGTTTTAAATATTCCTGATATTACTTCATATATTAAATAATAAATATTACTCTCAGACAGCCATCCTTCTAATTTACAGATTGTCCTAACACACCAACATATAGAAAGAAAAGAGATATGAGGAGAGTGGCTGAGTGGGTGGAATCAAAGAAGGAAAATGAATAAAAAAAATTCCATCATATGAAAATAAAGCCGATAAGTGTTACAAGAATTTAAGACCAACTTATCCAGAGGGCATCAGATTGGGAAAAGTAATCCATGGAGATCAAAGGCTGGCTCCAGACATAAGAGTTGCTTTTTAATGAAATGGGTGGTGACAAATTTGATTAATAAATAAATATAAATAAATAAACTGAAGATGACCGCTGTAAGGAGATTAAACCCTCCCAAAATACAAAGAGATAAAAATCTTATGTGTCTGACATAAGTCATATGTGTTTTGTGCTTGGATATCAAATACTTCACTGGAACTTGCTTTTTTGGGGGGTGAGAGTAAACTTAAACTCTATTAAAGCATTAAAACAGTGCACACAAAATGAGCAGTTCCTTCCTTTATCTCACAAAAGCTTTGGGGGTGGCCCTGAGAGACTTCAAAACGCTTGCTTTTGGGGGGATTGGATTGTGGCCCTTGATATACCCCTCAAAGGACAAGAATGTTCTCTATTGTTCAGAAGATGTTGCACAACTGTGCATTGCAGTTTGAAATGTAGTACAGCAGACCCTGAGAATAATCTGAACAGGAGAGGCGTAATGTTCTGCATGAGATGCGATACTGTCAGGATGTTAACCCTGATTAGGAGGTGGGGGTGAAGGAGCAATACAGCAGAGTTAATGAATTTCACACAGGGCTGATCCAGTGTAATTACCGGGATTCCATTAGTCATGGGGATGATTTCCCGAATCATCCACGGGCCTATCAGTCACACCCTCTGATAGTTATAAAATGTTGGGTCAATTCCAGAGATGATCAAGCAGAAGGAATCTTCAGCCCAAGAAAGAACACCTTCACAGGCATTGTATCCTGCTTTCTTGGGTTAGGTTACCTGCTCCTAGGACCAACCGTCCACAGGTCAGAGGACCTTTCCTTTTCTGCCAATACTCATTGATCTTTCTGGTATTTGGGGACTAGATTATGACAGGCAGATTTCCTTTTAAGAAAATTAGTCTGGATAATCCCTTATATTTACTTGTTTAAATATATTTATCTTGCTGTTCTACTTGGCACTTTTTAGGGCTTGTTTATTTGATCCTGTTTTCCTTTCTTATAGTTCAGTTGTTATTTTTTAAAATTGTAAAGCAGGGATGCAACTTGTTAAAACCGTGTCCAGTAAGTTGGAAAAATGACAATAACTTTCTAAAAAATACAACTGGCAAAGCAGTTTATAGCAACTCAACACAGCCTGCCTTTTTGAAATCATAAGAAAAATTTAAAACTTCATGACACCAAATAATAATAAAACAGCTTGAATTTCCAAATGTATTAGACTGGTTCTGATATCTGAAAAATCTCACCACCAAGTTCAAATGAACTTTGAGTATCTTTAGGCTGGAATAGCAGGATTCAAATCTATATACTACTAAAACGCTTGTGTCTGTTTGTCTGTTAGTAACCTTCCATTGGGCAAAACGGTGCATCATACAGCAACAGTTTTTGAACCAAGGTATCTCAGATGGGCTAACTTACAGAATGTAGGACCCATTATGCCAGTGGGGAGGAAATTTGGGAAAGTTGTGGCCACTTCAGCGCTGCTGTGCTGCTGTTGCTTCAGCATGACCATGCTGCCACAGTCATGCAATCTTCATTTCCGGTGTTCCCTGACAGCTTCCCACAACTCAGTGAAGAAGCTGGAAGGGATTCTAAACTCTTCTGAGGTGATGATGGCACAATTAATTAATTAAAATTAAATGAAAATGAAAAAGAAGATCATCAGCCCAATTATGCCACATGGAATCAGAGGAGGGGCATCATGGTCAACAGATCATGTGGCTGTCATTTCAAACACTCCCTGACAGCTTCCCATAAGCCAGTGGGGAGGCTGGCAGGAATTCTAAACTATTCTGAGGGAAGGAAGGAGGGAGGAAAAGAAAGAACAGGGCAGAAGGAGGTAACTGTCCTGTTTCAGGTCTCAACTCACACAGACACAGTTGCTAGGTAAAGAAAGCAATTTACCCAAGGTTGAGCAGATAAGAGCAGATAAGGGAGCAGATAAACCAACAAAGTCTCTTGGAAAGAAAGCTTGCCTGAGTGGTTTTGATTTCAACAGGAGCACACAGAAGGGTAGTCAAAATCCAGTCCAAAGTTCAGACAGCCAGATCAGATTTGTCATCATCGGACTGCTCCAGCTATTCAGGTGGTACTTGTGGTTGATCAGCCTCAGGTGATTCTTGGCTTTGTCTCTCCTGAGGATGATATTCCACAGGTTCAGCTGGAGCAGCTTCTTCAGAGTTAGATTCAGAGTCTGGGTCCTGGGCCATGACAGGAATGAGGGAAGGGAGGGAGGGGAGTAGGAAGGCAGGAAGATTTCTGATACTCCCTGCCAGCTTCCCACAAGGAAAGTCAATGAGGAAGTCAGCAGGAAGTCAGAAGTCGCTCCCACTGCTTTTTTGCCTGCCAGTGGTCATTCTGTTTCTCTGTTTAGGTAAGGAAATATCTCTGAAATGTGAACCCAGTGGGTCATAGGTTGTCTAGTGTCTTACTAAAATCTCTTTCACCACTCTCAGAAATTTGCTGTAAGCATAATATAAGGGAAAAAATAATGAGTAATGACACAGTGTCCTATTTTTTTTGTGTGGGAGGGGTGATGGTTCTATTTTAATATGGTTCGCATTTTGGTTTTGTCCTTTCACAAGATAGGAAACTGTAGCACTAGATAATTTGGAATTCTGAGGAAAAGAGTAAACCTTTTTCAGCAGGCTTAGAATACCACATGGATGCTATAAATTTCTCCCAAATTCCTATAAATCTCCATCTTTATCACTGATAGCTCACTTCTGCTCCCTACCTTCATCTTATCCTGCACGGCAGTATGGCTCCCAGCACAAAAGGAAGGCACTTAGTTGGGTTTTTCACATAGCTTTTCCATTAAGCAAACAACTTCAAAAAAGCTAAAACGCATTTAAAGATGCAACAAGCCAACACATAATCTGAAGATAACAAGTGTGTGTGTGTGTGTGTGTGTGTGTGTGTGTGTGTATAGTGGCAGGGTGTAAGATGCAGGCAGGAACAGCATACACTGAATGGCACAAACAAGTAGCCGGCATTGTGTACAGGAACATCTGCACGATGTATGGACTAGATCCTCCCAAATCCAGATGGGAGATTCCTCAGAAGGTCATGGAGAATAACAGAGCTAAGATCCTGTGGGACTTCCAGAT